CTATTGTAAATAGCACTGCAATAAACATGTATCCATGTGTCTTTATAGTGGAATGATTTATAATCCTTTGGGTATATACCCAGTAATGGGAATCCTGGGTCAAATGGTATTCCTGGTACTAGGTCCTTGAGGAATCACCACACTGTCTTCCACAAGGGATGAACTAATTTACACTCCCACCAACAGTGTAAAAGCGTTCCTATTTCTCCACATCCTCTCCAGCACCTGTTGTTTCCTGACTTTTTAATGATAGTCATTCTAACTGGCGTGAGATGGTATCTCATTGTGGTTTTGATTTGCATTTCTTTCTCTAATGTCTGCCCTTCTTTTAGAAGCTAAGACTTCTGGTATGATGTTCGATAGAACTGGTGAGAGAGGACATCCTTGCTCTGTTCTTGATCTTAGGAGGAAAGCGTCCAGTTTTCATTGTTAAGTACAGTGTTAGTTGTGGGTATTTTTATAGTTGCTCTTTATCAAATAGAGGAAGTTCTCCTGTATTTCTACCTGTCTCAGGGTTTTTATCATGAAGGGATGTTGAATGTTTTTAGTGCCTTTTCTGCGTCATTTGATATGATCATGATTTTTTTTCTTTAGTTTCACGTTGTGGTGGCTTACATTTGTCAATTTTTAAATGTTGAACCAATCTTGCATACCATAAATTAATCCCACTTGGTCATGGTGCATAATTTTTAATACGATTATGTATTTAATTTGCTATTTTTTTGAGAATTTTCTCAAGTCGGTCTATACTTTCCAACTGTCTGTTGAGATTTCCTCTCTATCCATTCATAGTTATCTTTTTTTTCAGTCCCTGAGAATATTTATAGTAGCTGTTTTAAATTCCCTGTCTACCAATTCCAACATGTGGATTATTGCAAGGCCTTTTTATATTGAATTTCTGAGGCTTTGTCCACAGTTTTATTTCTATGAGGAAAAATATATGGGCCAGAAAACAGCATGATGCCAGTTTCCAAAACTGGGTAGTACATCCAAAACCCGGAATTTTCCACTGGTAAAACTGCAATTATTTTAAAAGTTTATAGATTGAGTGAGAAAGAGAAGTGACGTGATGATAGATGAGAGATAAACAATAAGTTTTAAATAAAAACAGAATTTCAAAATTTTCTTTTTTTCACTGAATATATTTTAGGATGCTTTCATGTCAATAATTTCACAATGACACTATCATCACTTCCTATGGATGTTTTTCAGCATATGGATGTATCTTGTTTGATTTAAGTAATTTTCGTTATTTCTACCTTTTCACTTTCATTACCAACACTGCTGTGAAACTTCTTCACGTGTTTATTTTTTTTTTAACTTTGCCTCATTCTTTCCCCAAAATTAAGTTTGTAGTAAGAATTTTGGATCCAAATATATGCCAGTTCTTACAAATACTGCTATTTTCTTATTTGCTTTCAGAAAACCACTTATATTCCTATCAACAGTGTACATTTTCATCTTTGGCAATATCATAATCAGAAGTTAAAATTTTTTTGTTGACTTAACTTGCGTTTCCAAAATTAAAAATAAGATTGGATATTATCATATGCACTAACAATGTATATTTCTTCTGTGAATTACTTGTTAACATCTTTATTTTTTAGTTGGAGAGTTAATCTTGTTTTAATTTATATGAACGTGCTATTGGTATACTAAGGAGGTCAACCATTTATCTGCCTTATTTAGTAAAAATATTTTTTCCATGAAGTCATTTATCTTCTTTTTTTGATGGTTTTGACTCACTAAGTATTTATTTTTGTATGCAGTCAAATCTGTTGATCTTGTCCTGTTTTGTGATTGCCGTCATAGTTAGAAAACCTTGTTTACCATTAAATTACATAAATATTTATAAATATTGCTAATATAAGAGTGGACACAGAATGAGACAGCACTTTGGAATTATACAGATATTGGATCAGATTCCAGCTTTGCCATTAACTAGCTGTAACATATTGTATTTTTCAGAGATGGCTGCAACAATAGCTCCCATACCACAAGATCTTCTACAATTTTACTACTCTCTAATCAAAAGATTAGATTTAGAATCTGGCCAGGCTTGTAACTCACTTGTAATCAATAGAACATGGCAGAAGTGATGAAGCATGACTTCCAAGGTTAGGCCCTAAAATGAGATGCAATTCCTATCTTGTCAGCTATACATTTACCTTTAGAGCCTTAAGCTACCATGTAAGAAGTTTGGGACCCCTATGCGGTGAAGGGGCCTGGGCTGCATGCAGAGTCTCCATGTAGGTGTTCTGACAAGAGCCCCAGGTGACATCACAACTTATACTACCATCAACTCCAAAGACATGTGAGTGGAGACACCTCCAAATGATTTCAGTTTCTAGCTCTTTCATCACTTTCAGTCTTGGAGTCTTCCCAGTTGAGGCCTTAGACATCACAGCACACAGACAAACCTACTGTATACTTTCTTAATTCCTGATCCATGGCACTAGTGAACACAATAATTTGTTATGTAGCAATAGTAACTAGAAAGCTTAATTGTGTGACATTTGACAAGTTACTTAACCAGTCTGTTCTTCAAGTTTCTCATCTATTGAACTGTCTTGTAATAATAGCTACTTTATGGGAAGTTAAGGTTAAATGAGATCATATATTAAAAATGCTTGACGTGTGCCTAGCACATAACTACAAGTTCAAATAATGATAGCCACAACAAAAAGCAAGCTTTTCTTTATTACATTTACATGCGTAATACACGTGAAATTTATTTTGGTTTAATAGGTAAGGTTGTGTGAGTTATTTACCAGTCAATTACAAAGTAACAGATCGTTAGCCAAAGTATTGTCCTTTAAAAAGATATTTGAAGAAACAATTCTCTGTATAATTATGTATATATATGAAAGAAGAACATGTGCATATCAGAGGATAAATTCTTGGTGTTTTATCATGTGGGTAAAGAAATTTTCACCTAACTTTTGCTACGTTTGTTTGATCAGGTTAGAAAATGGAAGTGGGAAGAATATCCGAAGATAGGGTAAGGCACAGAAAATATTCTCCAAGGTTAGAGAAATGTTATCTAGTCGGTAAGGAAGCCTAAGAAGAAAGATTATCCTGACTCAGGAAGAGTTAGTTTAGACACTACACACACTATTACTTGGAAGTGCCAAAATGTAACTTCGCTTTCTAACCTGAACTCATTTTGTTTTAGAGCTCTGTTCACAGTGAGACAAAACACTTGGTCTTGTCAGCTTAAAACTTAGAGAATAAGGGAATGAAGGGAAGTTAGGGGGGAATTATTAACAAAAACATGGTCTCAGCTGAAGACTAGCTTTAGTTGGATCCCGTGGAAAAGCTCTGGGGTACAAACTGTACCACAGACTTAGTTCTACCTTAATACAAGGGGCCAGCCATTCATTGGCTGAGGCCCATATGCAGGTTGTGAGTTTAGCATCTGGGCAAGGCTGCTTCTATTAATATTTAGTAGAGAGAAATCTCCAAAGAAGTCAGTAACTGTGAGTTGTCATAAGTCAACATATGATGCAACTGGGTGCACTTATCAGCAAAGGGGATTTTGGAAGCCACCAAATTCAAATCCAAATCATCCACTACATAAAGACAAATTCAACGCTATAATGCTGAGAATGCCAAAGTGTGCTCTTGAAACATAAAGATTTTATAATTAAAACTCTCTGCGTGCTCCACAAAACCAAACTTTGGCTTTGTTTAACATTGATTCAAAAATATTTTTAAAGTCTATTTTGAAAACCAAAGCTAAACAATATTTTCTTTTCTTTTTCTAGACTGACTTCTACCATCCCCATGATTCAATGGGGAGAGAGCTCTTACACAACCAGAGCCCATAACTCAAACTTAAAATATTCATGTTACGTTAGCTTTTCTAGTTTGCTTGTCTACCGTCAAACAGCTGTCTTCATGTATCTTTCATCCTGACTCTTCAAAATCCAAATTGAGAATTCCTCAGAAAGCATTATATTCTCAGACATAGACAAAGATAGGGTATACCAGACTACTCAGATAGAAGGTTGGTTGGTTCATTGTAAGAATTTTATGTGGCATAATATAAGAGAAAGAAGCTCATGGAAGACCAGGACCAAGAACTGCAGTCAGCCTCATAAGGACAGAAACACCAGGGTTAGTGTGTATCCAAGGAAAACGTGCCACGTTGGCCACAGGTGTGCTCCAACATCAATGCTACTTAGTTTCTCTTCCTATCTGTTTCTCTCTGTGTCTGCCTGCTTCTCTTTCCACCACTGTTACCCCTATATGCTACCTTTCTCACACTTTCTGCATACTCATAACTTCCTCTTACACAGGGCACTCTGTTACTTGAACGCTACCTCATGGTATCTATTCACATCCTATTATCTTCAACTACCATGCCACCTGCCACATTATCAGCATTTTGTTTTCTCAGTCCCATGAGAAGAACCTGACTAGCCATCCTTAAAAAAACACTCTGTTCCCAATCTAATCACCTAGTTCAACCATGTGCCCAAGGCTGCCTGGCCGGCCAGGGCAATGATTATTCAAGCCAATTCTACCCACAGCAAGTTATCTCTCAGATCTTAGTTTTTACCAATTGAAATGCCCCCTGAAATTTTCTCTAATGCCTTATCTCTGTCTGTTCAGGTTTTTTTTCTGCCCTGAGGTTCCCCCAAGAGCTCTATCAGAGAAAGACTTGGCCCATGCCGCCAACACACTGGGAAGCTGGGGTTAGCCCTCTCCAGAACCCATGGCAAAAAAAGACAGTGCTAGAAAGTGTCGGGGCTAATCCAAAGAGAATTCCAACTGAGAGAAGAGTGTAGATGAGGATACAGGATACTCACAGAAATCTCAGTACAAATTGGAGATTATTATGGCCCAAGTGTTCACATTTTCATACAGGAGATAACAAATGACTAAGTCTGAGCTTATTCATGGCAGTATCACATAAGGAGAGCAAAACCCCTCCCACCTGTGAGTGACAGGGATGTGCAAAGAGTGAGTCTAGGGCTCCATCATCACTAGGCTCTGCTGGCTTTCTCACTCTCTACCATTGCATAGAAGAAGAGAGCAAAATTCAGGTTCAGGGAAGAGGAAAAAAAGGGTAGTGGTTGAAAAAGAACCCCAAATCCAGGAGATACACAGAGCTAAACTCCCTCAGGGAGGTTGCAGTAGTTACTATGATTACAACAGATGAGCTCTGCCCTCTTCGAGAACCCCAAGAAGTTGATGTCCTCACAGTTGGTCATACACGACAGTTTTGAATAATGATACAGGCTCTGCCCTGAGGAGGTAAAAAAGAGGAAATATGATCATAATGACCTCATTTCCTTTCACTGCATTCTTAGGAGTAATCTGTTTTTGTGTCCTCACTAACCTTTCTCTAGGCCCAAATGAGTTCCAAAGCTGAGTCTGTTCATTGCTGACCCAGAGAGTAGATTTTATTCCCTGCCAGGTAAGGGACATCAGCCTCTTTTTCACCCAATATGGTCTTAAGGAAAAGTCTGTCTTTGCCATCCCCTCATGACCACCCCATACTCATCCATCCCATTCACCCACTCACTCTGAGGGCAAAAGAACACCACTGTTTCTCAGGGATGGTGGTGGTGATTTTCCAGTCACTCTATACTCCACATTACCTGTAACTGTAAGGACGTAAAAGTTCTCAACTGCACAGGACTGTTTAGGCTTCAGGGAGCAGGATGACATGACATCATAGCATAACCCGAGATGATATTTTTTACATTTATAACACATTATTTCAGTCGCTGTCAGATACAAAAAGAGGTGCTTAGAGGATGCAGTCTTGAGAACATTCTCTGGGGCTGGGGGCTTCGCTACAGGAACTTACTCTTGCCTAGTGGTTCCTAACATTTTTTGGACCATGGACTCCTGGTAATCTTGAGAAAGATAGGGATCATCATGCTGTGGTCCTCCCCATGTACACATTAATACATTTGTACACATTTTCTCCAATTAAAAAAATCTTGTGAAAGATAACCTGTGCAAACATAAATCAAATATTGTATACGACTTCGGGAGGTCAGGGTTCTCATGAAATTTATCCATGGACCTCCAGTAATGAACCCCTTATCTAGCCTGATGATTTTGCCGAGTAATAGGTAAAAGAAAGTAAAGTGGATCTTAGCCTCCTTCCTCTAAGAAATGGACAAAACAGGTCTGGCAGGAGGCGAAACCCCTAGGATTCTATAATAAGAATGGATTACAGGGCTCTCTGAAGCTGAAGGGAAGGTTTGCTCCTAAATATGTCATAAATCACCTGTTTACCAAGGTAAACAGGTAAACTTGTCTGAAGTCCTGTTTACGAAGGACTTCAGACAAGCCATGATTGTACCTTCTACACGGTCATGAAGTTCACCTGTGAAAAGAAGAAAAACCTTCCTTGTTATAATCTCACATACAGTGCCACTGCCCCAAGAGCCAATTTTGAAAACTGCCACTTCCCCCAGCATCTGTCCATCTCTTAACCAACCACCAGCTTCCCCTCTGTCTCCAGGACTTACCCCAATATGGGCAGAGCAGAAAGATTGTGCTCAGCAGAAAGAGAACAAGCATCCTGGAGCTTCTGTCGGGTGCAGCTTCCTCTGGAAGGAGCGAGTTGTTCTTTCGTGATCTGGGCTAGTCATCTAAATTATATAGTCATAAAATTTCAGGGACAGATAGTATGACAATGTTCCCAGAGCCAAACCACCATATCTGATTGCTGCACAGCATTCTAAAGAGGGTACTCACTTTGATTTTGTGCAAATCCTCTAATGAAAATGAAATTGTAATGTTCCTGATTCACCAGACCTGCTCCTACTTCAATATTGCAGAGTTTTAAGAAGTATTTTCAACTTCTCATTTTAGATTCAGGGGGTACATGTGCAGGATCGTTACAGTGGTATACGGCTTGATGCTGAGGTTTGGGGTACGAATGATCCCATCACCTGGGTAGTGAACATAGCACCCAACAGTTAGTTATTCAGTCTTGCCCAGTCCCTCCTCACAATGTTGCAGATTTTAGTACATTTGGGAGGTATTCTTTACAGCTTCTTGTGTTTCATCCTCATTGAGCAATTTAACAGCAAGTCTTATCCATTTTACCTACTAACTTCTCACATGGGTTTATTACTCTCTGTCGCCACTGCCATTACCATAAACCAATCTATCATCCTGTCTTGCCTGGACAAAGCAATGGCCTTATTTTTAGCCTCCATGCTTCTCCCCTGCCCCTTCACAATCATTTCTTCATAAAGCAGTCAGAGAACAAGTCATAGATGCCACAGCCCTGCTGAAAACCCTCTGATGACTTTTTATTACCTTTGAAAGAAAATCCAGAGTTTTTATCATAGCCATCAACGGCTTCCTCATTATGAGCAATGGCCTCCTCTCCAATCCTCTTTCTCTCCACTTTTCCCTTGCTCACTCAGGTCTTTGCTCAAATGTCACCCCCTCAGACAGAGCAGCATTTTCTGCTCAATCTCTAGAAAATGACAGCCTTCATTTCCTACCCTTTCCCCTGTTTTATGTTTTATAGCAATTCTCATTAGCTGATCTTACATTCCTATTGGCTCACTTTTTTACTCCTCCACTAGAACAAAGCAAGGGGTTTCTTTGATTTATCATGGCACACTTGGCATCTAGAGGCTGGGAACAAAGGAAATGCCTAACAAATATTTGTGAGAGGAATCAATAATGTTCTTCCCATATCCTGCCTTGCATCCCTCCAGTCCATTCTCCACAGAGCATCCAACTTTATTAGATTGGTTTTCCGAACTATAATAAAGATGAGAAATGAGACTTTCTACATGCCAGCAAGGGTTCCAAGATAGTAGGTAGCGAGTGTTTCACATTTCACAGGAAAACGCTATGCTACTTAGGCAGATTTACAAAGAAAATCAGTGAAACTGTGTTTAATATCCTGGACTTGCTGTCCACCTGGAGGGTATAAATAAACAGTGAAGTGCCAGAAAATAAAATGGAAGGAGTTTCTATAGTCTAGAGTGAGGGTTACTTTTCTATATATGGCTCAAAACATAAAACCATTAAAAAATGATTACTTATATTTTTAAAAAGTCTTCTACATAAATGGAAAACCAATCATTAATCCATAAGAAAAGCCCAAATAACAAATAAACCATTAAAAATATTTGCAACTCGTATCTCAGACTAAGGGCTAATCTCCCTATTATACAGATATTCCAGAAAGTGATTTTTAAAGGACTAACAATTCAAAGGGGAGAGAGGCAGTCAATAATAACGTCATAGTTCACAGAACAAAAAAACCAAAAATGCTTCTTAAACACATGAAATATGGTGAACCTTACTCCTAATTTTAGTCATGTACATTAAAACTAAATTCAGATATTAGTTTTACTTAACAGATTGACAATAATCAGAATTTGATAACACAACTATGTTGGCAAGATTGGAGTAAAACAAGCACTGTCATACACTGCTGATAGGTCTGTAACTTCATATATCAGTACAGAATAAAATTAGACAATAGCTCTCAAAATTATAAAGAAATTGTCATCTTAGCCCAGTAACTGCATAAGAATTTTCTTGCACATTTGGCCTTGTTTCTAGGATTCTTCAGGGAAAAAAGTAGATAGATGAATAGATGACAAATACCTTGTGAGTTCCTGTTGATATTTTCAATTGAAATTCAAGACTGCAAAGTTTTAACTTTATATTACAACTGTACCTCTTTTGTTTTACACTGATAATTCTACTTCTCAAGGACACAGAATTAGAACAGAATTAGAATGATATATATGGTATATAAGATGTAAGACAGAATATTACATGTATATGAATTATAATATGGAATATACAGGATAGAATGAAATTAGAATTCAATAGAATTAGAATGTCCTATAATCAATCATTTGCTTTATCCCACATTAAACACCTACAAGCCTCAGCATAACAATACCGTCACTAATGGTGGTTACTAAAATAGTTGTAAAATTTTGTCTATGCTCTTTATTTTCTCAACCACTACCACCTGCATTTTTTTATGGTTATACAATATCTAATTATCCAACTCTATGGTCACCACATACTACACTCTCTGCCTTTTAATCTTTACTTAGTCTTTGTTCTACTAGTAAGTTTATATTTAAACTTGACCATCAGCCCTATGTTGAGGTCTCGCTAGTCATTTTGTCTATCTGAAGTACTTTTTCTTGATTCATTGTTCAGAAAGAAATTATAAAAATAATAATTCTGAAATTCTGGTATGTCAAAAAACTTTATGTTCTTTACACTTGAAAGTAATTTTCTGTCCCTTATAAGTTGTACGATCTTTTGACTTAAAAGCTCAAAGGATTTTTTTTTTAAGTTCACTAACTTTACAAGACCATGTGTTTGTTTTGATCACTCTAAGTCAGTATTCTCAGGTACACAGTGTGCTGTTTCAATGGGAAGTTTCTGTTCTTCAGAAAAGTTTTATTATGGTTATTAATTTTTAATACTTGTCTGTTCTTTTTCTTTTTTTTCAAGAGCTTCTATCATTTGTATAGTGAATCTTTTTTATTTTAAAAAACTCACTTTTTATGTCTTTAAATTTCATTATTCATTTATTTTAGATTTTAAATTTTTCTTCTTTTTCACTTTCTCTTTCTCTTAATTTAATATTTCATTATTTGCTCTCATGCTTCTTATATTTTGTATGGGAGAGCAGTGCACCATGGGCCCAGAGCATCACTGCACGTTCTTGCTGGGGATGCTAAAAATGTGAGGCTCTGGCTGCTTTTCACCCAGGCCATATCTCAGGGTTATGTTTGCAGTGAGGAACCTTGAAGAATGCGGTAACAAAGAGTAGGGTTGATTCCACTTAGTATACAACTGGTAGATTCCTCTAGTACAGTGTTCCTAAGCTTCACCACAAACCCACAGTGTGACAGCATCGATCTGGGCCTCATATATTTCCCACCATGAGACTCAGGGAACCAGAGGAGTACTGCAAATCAACATGAAGTGCTGGCTTCTGCTTTTGCTGTGAGTGCTAAAATCCTTTGTTTTTGGTTGTTGTTGTTAGTTTGTTTTGGTTTTGTTTGTATGTATGTTTGTTTTTGAGACAGAGCCTTGCTCTGTCACCCAGGCTGGAAAGCAGTGGTGCAACCTCTCACTGCAACCTCCACCTCCCAGGCTTTAGCGATCCTCCTGCCTCAGCCTCCCAAGAAGCTGGGATTAAAGGCATGCACCACCACGCCCAGCTAATTTTTTGTATTTTTAGTAGAGATGGGGTTTTGCCATGTTGGCCTGGCCTCAAGTGATGTGCTTACCTCAGCCTCCCAGTGTGCTGGGATTATAAGCAGAGCCACTGCACCTGGCCTTTTTGTTTTTAACCCAGGGGTTTTGTTTCTTCCACCAGCATCCATCAAACAATAACAGGCTAGCTTGGTAGCTTGCAAGTAGGATAAAATCCAGACCCTTAATAGTCCTTAACAGTTTGAGAGATGAAGATGAGATAATGACAGACACCATCTCTCTGGAAGGTAAAGGACAAGGGCTCCCACATGACAGGACTAAGAGATAATAGAAGACATCCTGGAATCCAGTAGCAAGTGCTTGCACCCAAACTCGTGGGAGGTAAGGGAATCCCAGCGTGTTATCTGCTTGTATTAGTTTTCTATTGTTGTATAGAAAATTACTATAAGTGTAGTGGCTTAAAGCAACACATATTTTATTATTTCACAGTTTCTATAATTCAGAAGGTTGGACACAGTATAACTAGATTTTCTGCTCAGGGTCTCACCAGGCCGAAATCCAAGTATCATCCAGGGATATGGTTCTTATCTGGAGTCCAGGACCTAACAATACATTCCAACAACCCTGAATCACTGAATCCTGCCAACTGCTATGTGACTGAGATTGGAAGCAGATTCTTTCCCAGTTGAGCCATGAAAGAACTATGTCCTAACCAACAACTTGATTACAATCTGGGAGAGATACTGAACCAAAGGACCCAGCTAAAACACACTCAGATTCTGACCAACAGAAAATAATAAATTTTACTTTTTTTTTTTTTTT